CAGTGAGCTGCTCCCTTGGTTGGACAGTGTGTGTTTGTTTAGCCGCCCATCAATGCTGCCCCAGAGCCCACTCAGCACTCTGGAAGCCATGGAAGTCCCCAGGTGATCTGCAGTGACACACTGCTCCAGCTCCCAGGGCCATTGTGCCAGCCAGGTGTGGCCATGGCATGTGGCACAGCACGTGCACCTCTTACCTGAGCAAGGAGGAGACTTGCAGCTGAACTCTCAGCAGACATCAAATCACTTTAGTCTTTTTTCCTTCCTGAGGCAAAATGAAACTGCCCGAAGCACACCATAAATCTGGCAGGGCAATGGGACCTCGTTCACAAGGATGTGGGAGAGGAGACCCAGCTCTGCAGGATTCAGTGCCTGTGTGCCATGGCTGATTCTCCTCACACCACGCAGAGCAGTGATGTGTTTGTGTACCTGTGCCTGCAGGACAGGTACACAAACACACAGCTCAGAGAAGTCTGCTCTGAGTCTCCCAGCATGAGGGGAGCTGTCAGGCTTTTCTTTCATGGGAATGCAGCTGAGATGCCAGGAAAGCACTCCTGGCAGCAGGCAGAGCTGAGAAATGTGGGCTCCAGCTCCCAGCCCTGCCTGGAGTGGCTGTCAGACACCCTGCCTTGGAGGATGCCACATTCACCACACAAGCACCAATGGAAACTCACAACTTGGTAAGAAAAGCAGCTTCACTGCTTAATTAAATCTCTCATTGAAGAGTACCAGCCTCCATCTGGTTCACCAGCAAGGCCATTCAGAAGCAGTAAGGGGCTGGCCCTCTTCCTTTCACAACCCAGCAATCCCTCATGCAGGTACCTTGAACAGCAGACTCCTGCACAGACAGCAGCTCCTGCCCAAGGATTAACACAGGTATCACAGCTCCTCCCCTCGAGGTGCTGGGCTTTGAAGAGCCCCACAGCATCTTGTTTTATGTGACTGTGACATCAATCCCCTGAGCACGTTTTCCAGTCTAACAACAGAATCGGAAGAGACCTCAATTCAAGGTCCTTTTTCTTGGTAACAAAGGATCTGTAAAGCAGAGCTGCTTTCAAAAGAAAACCTCCTGACTGAACTCCTAGATAACATCCCAGCAGCAAACTGACATCCTTTTAATCACTCCTCTAAGTCAAGACACAGGGAGCTGAAGACCTATTCAAGAAGCAGAAGGTCACATTTCTTTCTGGAAGGATGTAGGGTTGTCCAACAATGAGAAGCAAAGACTAAATTGAATATAATTCATTATAACAAAAAGCAAGAAGACAAAAAAAAATAAGTTCTAAATTTCAAGTCATCCTCTAGTAGGGCTGCTGTGCCCACTGGGATTTCTTTCTCCATATCTTTTATGCGGTTTCCATTTATCTGCCAGCTGAGCTAGTCAAGTTTGGGGCCAAAACAAGACAATAAAAACTTGCTGCTTCATGCTGTTAATTTTGTTTTAACTGAACAGGCAGCTGAAGGTACAGCTATACCTAGAAATGGGTATTCCTACAGCAGGATCACTGAAAAACTACATGGCCCTAGGACAGCAGAACTTCCTGAGGCAAGCAGAGCACTATGCATGTAAGAAACACAGACCAGGAAACATCCCACAGCAAAAGCAGCATTACAGAGGGGGAGGCAAAGTTCCCAGGAAATGGTACGAAATGCTATCAGAAAACACAGGAACTAAACCTTAGCAACGAGGACATGTGAAAGAAAAGAAGAGGAAACAAAGAACTGCATACAAAGGAAAAAATCCCAGGAAGTTCTACAATTACCCAAGTGAGGAAAACTGTTAAAATGCAGCAGTTGGAAAAATAGTTGGATACAGTGAAAGACATCAGCTCCAGATGGAACAGCACAGTCCTGAAACTGAGCTGTATCTAACCCAGAAATTGAAAAGAAGTTGAGTTTTCACATGAGATGTGGAGCACTGCCTTAACACTGGGGTGTGAAAGGCCAGGCATACAGACACAACCTCCTTGTAGGAGAATGAGCAATGAAGAAAAAAAGGAAAATTTCACAGGGAAGCACTTCTCAGACAAAGAAGGAGGAAAGAAGACTTTTCTTGTGACCATAAATATCAGTTTCAGAAAAGCCTAATCTTGGCCTATGATTTTGTTAGAACACAGAAATAGTGTGACAAAGGCAAGAGATTTTACTAGGGAGGAAGTCAAACTCACTAATAGTCTAAAGCTACACAAGTGTCAGAAATAAGGATTTGTCTACTGCAGTGGCACACCATCAAACAGAATCATGGAATCAAGGAGTGGTTTGGGTTGGAAGGGATGTTAAAGCTCATCTTGTTCCAACCCCCTGCCACAGGCAGGGACACTTTCCACTAGATCAGGTTACTCCAAGCCCTGTCCAACCTGACCTTGAATTCTTCCAGGGATGTGACTGTGCAAGTGACAAGGTGATTTTCTTTACAAAATCACGGTGTCTCTTTCCTTCTGTCTTTTTTTTTTTTTTTTTCTCTTCTGGTGTATTACCCCTTCTCCTTAATTAGCTTATCATTTTTGCTTTATAGCTTAATTTTATAGCTAAACACTTCATTATCTCACAGAAGGAAACAGTTTAATATAGGAGATTGCATGTCTGTCACTTCCAGTTGGTTCCACAGGCTCTTTTGTCAGGTTTGGAAGAAGACAGGTCTACCTTGGTCACTGATCCCACCTCAGCCCTCCCTCGGGCAGTGGGGCAGAGCTGACCTGCTCACCAGGAGACAAGCACTGCTCATTACTTACAAAAAGCAAGGAGAGAATCAGAGGCAGGAGGAGCTGGCAGTCCCAGCTGTGCTCTCGGACGCAGCGCAGCACAAGGTGCAGCTCCCAGCAGAAGTCGGCAGAGCTCCTCAAAGAAGCCTTGGAGGAGGAGCGGCTTTTCTGCAGCACTGCCACCCTCCGGCTCCAGGGAAAATTCCCTCTTCCTGGCAGAGAAAAATCCCTGAGCCCCTGGGTTTATCCCCTTTCCCTCCCACCGGCAAGGAGAGAGCTGACAGCAAAGCTGGATGTGAAAATTCCCATCGTTAAGCAGAATCTGCACAGCAAACCCTTGGGATCAGCAGCCTGGAGGAGTTGCTGTCTGGCTGCCAACGCTCCCTGAATTTGGGGGCACCAACGTGGCCAGTTCATCCAAAGACCCAGACAGCAGCTGGACAGCACCTCAGTGCTCTGATGCCCTGGCTTACAAATGCAGAAACGGGAGACAAGTAACCTGCACCCCTTCTGTATTAGATAAACTTTCTTTCTGGGTCTAGGGGCGCACCCTGTCCAGCACTCTGGAAATGCTGTCCCAAGTCCCCAGAATGGCACATGTGAAGATCAGGATTCAAGAACTCCACAAGGCAGTTGTGACTCTACTTAGCTCCGAGGGAAATTCCCTTTCTCAATTCTCCCTGCTGGTTCACATAGTTTATCACACATCACTAGTAAGTGATGCACAGGCAGATGAACCCCAAGCTCTCCTGTCACAAAAAATAATCTAAAAATGCTGCAGAGATGTTGAATCTCATTTAGTAGAAGACAGCTTAGCACAGAAGTCTGCTTGCAGAGCAACCCAAAGAGGAAACACCCTCAATGAGCAAGATCCAAAATCTGAGACAGATGGCAGCTGTTATTAGAAAGGGTCAAACACTGTTTTCCTGTTTGTGGGCTTTTAATGACAATTTTCACAATAATTTACAAATTTGCTGTTACGCACACTTATGTCCATTTAGTAATGAAAATTGTGAGTTAATTCAGCTCTCAGTTGAGAAACTGCTGTAAAATTGCCCTTGCTGAGGGCTGCTCTCTGGTTTGTGCTCTACAGGCAGCCAAGCGAGTTCCTCACGCCGAACCTGCCCAACCTGCCGGCCCTCCCCAGGCTGCTCCCGAGCTCCCTCTGCTCGCACCAAGGGGAGAACCTGGAAGTTTCCAAGTGCTGAGGGAGTGGAGTGACAGCTCAACGGCCGCGGGGCTCAGGTGTGCCTAAGGCAGGATGGGGAGGGAGCGTCCCAGCCCTCGGCAGGGCAGCAGCACAGCCTCTCCCAAGGACCCCGCTCCCAGGGGGCCGGTGGCTGCAGCCCACGACTCAGCACAGCTCTGGGCTCTGCTCGGAAGGCCTGAACAAAGACAGAAGCAGCTGAGGGGCAGTGCAAAGTGCCGTGGGACAATACTCCATGACAGCTATGCCAGTGCTACCATTGCCTCATGTCTGGGCGTCAGGAATTCACCCACTGGATACTGTTCAAAGGAGGGAAAAAGATGGAAACCTGAGCCAAAACACAAACAGAACAGATCAATGCTGGAGAATTCCAGTTCAGCTATGTTAGTCCTCAGCAGAGGAGAGGAAATACATCAAAGGGTACTACAGACTTGAGTTTTCCCACCCAAGCTGTTGCAATCATCTCAATAATTCACCTCTCAGGACAGAACTTGCTTTCCGGTAAGACAGACTCTGTTTGCCTTTTACTTCCAGTCACTTCAAGCTGATTCAGCTTTGTGCCTTCTTGGAAAGAAGAAGTCAGCAGCAGGGTTTCTCAGAGAAATGTAATACAGCAATTTAAAGCAGCCAGTCTGTCCTGTCAGAAAAAGTGAAGGCAGAGCAGGTGGGGACCGCAACGAATGCCCCAAGAGTTCTGCTGAAGGAAGGAACATCAGGGATTTCTCTCCAGAAAAGCATGGGAAGTGTTAAACCTTGCACCTCACACATGTCGGAGTTTTCCCCACACTGAGCTCTTTCACAAAGACGTCCCCCACAATGCTTTTACAGGAGTGGAACCATTATCCTGACAATCAGATCATCCATTCTCAGATAACTTATATTTAATGTGTGAAAAAAAGGGAGTACTTTACAGCAGGCCCTGGAGAGAAGAGAAAGGACTGTGGTGAGCAGTCCACTGACAGAAACTGCTCCCTGGAGTTCCCTTTCCCCTTGCCTTCCTCCCCTCTCCAAGTGCAGTAACTCAATCCACAAGGTAACTGAACTCTCCTGGGGGAATCTGGGGCACAAGAGGCTGCAGCTCCTTTCCAAACGAATTTGTTTCACTTCTTTATTTTAAAGTCCACTGATCATCATTATCATCATCATCATCATCACAAAAAACCCCATGGGAAATGCAACTAAAGAGAAAAAGTCCAACCAAGACCTAAGAACCCAGAGCTAGGAGCAGATGTGGGCCTGCGTGGCACGGCGCCGGCGCGCGCGCGGGAGGAGACGACCCCGTGCGCCGCAGCTGCGTGGCCAGAGCTGGGTCCTTTATGTCAACCGCTGAACGATGACAGCGTTGAGCAGGTTGGCTTCCTTCAGGGTCTGGTTCTCATCAGTCAGCTCTTTATTGGGGAAGGTGGTCATGAGGACGAAACTGGTGGCAGCCATCGCTGGCCGAGCATCTACTATGAAGAGCCGGATGTCACGGATCCTGTCCAAAGGGATCAAACACACAGGGTGATGCTGTTACTGCCCAGCCTGGACAAGTGACTGCTCTGCCCAGGGCGTGCAGCCCTGCAGCTCTGCAGTTGTATTCCTGCTCTCCACAGGCCACACCAGGCTGTTCTGATCCAACCTGCTCCTGTTTAGTGGAATAGCAGCAGCTGCCTTCTGGGCTACAGGCTCAGCTCGGTGTTCTCTGTCTGTGTTGTCAGGGGGTCATTTGAAACTGAAAGCCCCCAGACCCTTTGCTATGAACAATTAACAAACTGACACTTCCTGAGCTTGTCACACACAGCAGAACCCAGAGGATTTCAGCTCCTGTGAGCGGCCACACAGTGACACAGGATCCATTTCTGGAACTCAGTCACAGGCAGAGGTTTTTGTAAGTTTTTGCCCTGAGCTTGACCCTGATATAAAATGGAGGAATTAGTATAAATTACAAGATCAGGAAGGTGAGAAGATTTCAAGAGATTTTGAGTGAAACAGTGGTATATCTAAACCAACTTTGCTCGTCTATAGAACAGAATTATGGTAAGAGCATCCCTTGGTGCTCCATTCAGCACAGGGAACAGCCTTATAAAAAAGCCTAAATGGAGTCAGAGTAACTGAACCAGGTTCCTAATTATCTGCCAGTTTCCAAAGCCTTTAGAACAGAATCAGTTTTTTACAGGTGACATCAAGGAAAGTTCTGCTGATATCACTTACACTCCCAGGTGTTGGGTCACTGGCTATAATCTATCCCAATTTGGAAAGCAAATCCTACCCAACAGTTAGCAACTGTCTTAAAAACACCACAATAACTTCATTCCCTTTCACTTGTACAGAAGGATGCCCACAGCTCCTTCTGGCAGGCTATCCAGGATTTTAGCACTTGCTCCCTGCCTTGCAGGGCCATCTATGCCTTGCCTGTGTTCCCTGTTGTGCTCGTACCTGTGACTGTGGTTGAACTTCTGCACCAGGCGCCCGCCGTCAGCGAGCCGGATCTGGATGTTGGTGACGGGCTCCGCCTCATCGATCACGATGGCAGAACTGGCTTTGGCTTCGTTCTCTGCCTGCTGGGCTGGAGAGCTGGTGCCCATCACCTGGGGCGCCGTGCTGCCAACAGGAGACGCAAGGTGAGCTGTTAGAAAGCAAACTCACCCGGCTACAGGGCGCCAGATCAGGCAGCAAGCTCACTGTCTGCCAGGCCCAGCTACCAGGGCTCCTCCTCAAGCAAGCTGCAAGTCAGAATTCTTGAGTCAGCCAGTCAGCAGGGACTTGTCCAGAAGTTCAACTCTACCATTCCCTTTAGTGCCAAGGGTCCTCACAATTTAACAGGGGAAGTGTGAATTGGAAACACTGCTCCAATGCAACACACCACGGAGGTTTGCAAACCAGGGATCTGGCTCCTGGCAGGGAGAGGTTGGGCCACCTCACAGTGTACATCAGTGAGCCTTGTTCCCTTAGAGGAACACCTCCCATCCCACAGGCACCCAGTGCCTTTCTTTCAGAAGGATGAATCAGAAGGCTCCACCTTGCAAGGCTGGAGTGACTCTCTCACAATACATGTAGTAAACCAGTGTCACAATCTTCTCACCTGCCCAGCTTCTGTCCTTCTCCAGTAAAAGCTTTGAAGACACTTTTAGGTTTCACATACTCCTCATCACGGTGATCTTCCATGTCCAGGTTCACCTGTCCGCCCCGTGCTAACCTGCGCAGCTCAGCTGGGACTTCCCTGCAAAGAGAGTGTTCTAAGGCAGCTGCCTGAGGCAGCAAAGCAGGAATACATGGACAAAAAGCCCAAGATCTGTGGAATTTTAGGAATCACAGAGAGCCTTTGCTTAACTAACAGGGCAGATGCACACCTCCCCACTGACAGGCACAAATTAAAGGTTACTTCTCCCTGGCCCTCACCTGCGGTGACACAATGCATCAGAAATTCTCAACACAAATATCAGTATGTTTGTTTACTTCAAACCCACTCCCTGTTTACCTGAATGAAATGTTCCATATTAAGGGTAACTAATTTCTTGCAAGAAAGCTCAGGTGAAATGTGCCATGGATTCAGAAGCCTGGATTCCACAGACACTCATGTTTCAGGAAACAGCTGTCCCTTTTCTCCCTCTCACTACGTACCCTCTGCGGATATCATCAAGGAACTGGGCATTGGATGGATCCTGGTAGCTCCTCAGCTCTCCACTATCCAGACTAAATCCACTCTTCCAGAGCTTCAGTACAACGTGCACCTGCAGCAGCCCCAAAAGAACAATCAGCCTCACTGAGCATCTTGGTGACAACAAAAAATGAAGCAAAATGAAAAGTTTCAGATGGGCAGAGGAGCTTCAAGGTGCAAAAACATTCCAGCAGGTTTCTCTGAGCTAAGGGAAAACCCCAAAGCACTGGCTTTTATATAATGGTCAGGTGTCAATTCCTAGAAGGTGGCACCATGGTCCCCTTTTGGATAAATATGGCTGATGAGCCAGGAATGGGTGAGAAGCCTAAACCAGGCTCCCACCACAGCCACAACCTTGTCTGGTCACAAACCAAGCACAAGGGAATCTTGAACTGATGCTGTCAGCTCCCATCTATGGATACATATTGGATGTATACAATAATGGATAAAGAAGAGTTGATTTCTCAATGCTCTTTGCATACTATTTTTCCTGATCTGCACTTCTAAGAAAAGCTCAGATTCTTAATTAAAAGATCACCAGAAAACTGCTTACCCAAGACCTAATCATCTATTATTCTCTGCTTGGAAATCCCACAGGAAGCAGGATTTACCGTATTTCTGTCCTTGTGAATTTCTATCAAGCTTTGTATCTCTCGGGGCTGGCAAGCTCAGTAGCTGGAGCAGAGAAATCCCTGGAGTGACAGCTACAAACCCAAGCAGAGATACTCACATCCTGAGAAGAGTTTGGTCTCCTCTCTCCTGCCACATAAGCCGACTCCTCCTCTGGAGTAGCCCCAAGGCGATACCCTCCCCCTGCAAAAGGCTGTGAGAGAGAGGCAGGCACAGGGTTAAAGAACCACACAGACCCAAAGAGCTGCTTTCCTGTTCCCACCACCCCTGTGGGGAACATGTCCCCTGAATGGGGGAACTTCATGGCATCAGCAACATCTCCTGCCCTGCAGGCAGTGACAGCTTCAGCAAGTTAATAAATGTGGCACAACAGAGCGGCTTTTCTTGCCACTGTGACACACAAAATGGAGCTGCACTAAGAGGAGTCCAGACTTAGCTGCTGAGATAATTCCAGGACTCCTCAATACCCAACAGCTGGCAGGGTGGAACCTTAACTGAAACGGGGAACAGAAGAAATACCTCCTCCCTGCTCACCTTGGGCTTGCTCGTCTCGCCACCGCTCTTGGCCGTCCGATCGACCGCCACGGCGCCGTGCTCCTTGGCCCCCTTGAACAGATCCTCCACCAGCTCGTTGGGGCTCTTCTTCCTCGGAGGACCCACGATCTGCTGGCCACTCCTCTCTGAGCCGCCAGCATAAAACCTGAGAGAAAGCACCCACTCCTGTCAGCCCTGCCTGCTGCCTCTGCAGGAGCCTCGGGCTGGATCAGGGCTCACTTGGTGCTTGGGCAGCTCAGTGAAACCCGCTGGGTCCACAAACATTGGCTACCGCCAGTGTGTCTCCCACTGCAGCCTCGTGCAAGCTCCTGTGCTGCAAAGACTTTCTTTTTATGTCAATTCCTGTAAATTACCCCTGGATCAATAGCAATGAAGTGGTAACAATGCTCAGACCTGGGGAGAGGAACAGCCCAGAGGGACAAGCCCAGTTGCAAACACCGGTACCAGCTCCATTACCCAGCTGAGCAAGGCCTCCAGCAAATCTCTGACCTGAGAGAGCAACATCCAGCTGGAATTCTGAGGGAAGGCACACGTTCATGCCACACAAAGGGTGGATCTCAGCTGGAAGCAATGGATGCACAGTCAGTGAAGTGCAATTAAGCACTTCTGGAAGATTGGGTTTATTAGCTTTCAGATGGCTTGTAACACACAGAGTGAGCTCCCAGCCTGCAGACCACGGCCCACCCAGGCTGAGCCACCCCTTCAGATACATCAGTTCCATCCCATTTACCTTGCCTGTCAACCTTAAGGGTATTTAACTACTTACAGCTGGCATTGTAGGACACTGTCCTACTAATACTCCATGTTCCCCCTGGAAAGGGGCCCTGCTTTTTTATTTCTGACTCCACACTCCATTACCTTACCCTCAAGCAACACTTCAAAAAAAAAGAACCCAAAACCAAAACCCCGACCAAAACAAACCCCCAAAACCCCAAGCTGTAAGAAAACCAATCCCTGCATAATTCCCACATTTCCATTCCCTGTGGACACAAATGAGGATCTGGGCTGTTTTCTCTTCTTAACCCAGGCTTTCCACACCCCACTTCAGGCTTTCTCCCAGTGCTGAGAGCTGGTGCTCGCACAGCTGAGCACGTGCTTGTGCACAGGCTTGCACTGACAAACCTGCCCTGTCAAACCTCAAATGTTTCACGACAGGAATTTCATATCCATGTAAACCTGTTTTTTTTCAAAGAAGCTGTACACAAGCAGCAAGTCCTCCCAGAAGGAATAAACACCCAGCATTTGAGCCTTCAGCTGCAAACTCACCTCTGTCCCTCCTCCTCCTCATCATCCTCCTCCTGTGCATGCACAAGGTCTCTGAACGAGGTTACTCGGTGGTCACTGCAAAAACCCAGCAAGAAGGATGTCAGCCTCCAGACACATTCCCTGCTGGAACATCCCAGCTGCAACAGGCTCCTGCAAGGTGGGCTCTGTTCACCTGCACCTCCCCCGAGAGAACTTTTCCTTCATGACAAAGGCAGCAGCTCCTCCTCTTTGGGACTGGACAGCATCCCCTTACAAAGGGATTTGGTAAGGTAAAATTCACATTTTTGTTTTGTAAAATGCTCAGCTTGATCAGCTCAGGTGTCACACAAAGTGAGAAAACATTCTTCCTGCTGAGATATGATCTGCTTACATGAAAGGTCACTATCAGACTGTTTTTAGTGTCAAAAGATAAATCAAGCTTTTCCTGAGCAATGAGGCAAGTTTTCCTAACTGGCTTAGCTGTGCAGTAACAGCCAGTGTACAAACACTCAGGTTCTCACAATTTCTAGAGAGCCACACAAGGTGAAGCAAACCTAAACACAGAGCTACTCCTCCTGAAAATGAACACAGCCAGTGCTTTAGAGTGTGTGTGCTTTGCCAGCTTTCCAGTGTGGAGCTGAAGCTGCCTCCTCACCTGGCTCCAGTGCCTCTGGATACGGAGCTGGGGGTGGGCTGGGGAAGGGTCAGGATGTCCTCATCACCCCCATCCTCATAGAAACTGGCAAGAGCAATCTGGAAAGGAAAACCAGCAAAGCTCCTCAGGAAAAACGAACACAAACAACCCAGCTGAAGCATCTGTCACGCTGGAGCTCCTAAAGCACCTCACACTAAAGACACCTCCTGTCACTTCCCCTGCTGCAGCTCCTGGCAGAGCTGAGGCCTCAGCAGGTTGTGCTATTTGGCTGTGTCATGGCAGGGCACTCGGTGCTGCAGGGATGTCACCCTGCCTGTCCGGGAATGTCAGGGCCCTTCTTCTGCAGCACTTACACAGGAATTGTGCCAAAATTACTCCTCTGAAACTGCAGCTTTTGTGCCATCATGAGCAGACTCGGAAATTAACACAGCCAGTCTGAGGAGGAGCAGGGACAGGAGCAGGTCAGAACGGTAGCTGATTCGCCCTCAGTTTGTTTGCTGACAGCACTGACAGCCTCACCAGCGTCCCAGGAAAACCTACATAACCCCGGCAAACCCCGGACCCACCGCCCTCACCTCGCGCTACAAAGTGAACGACAGAACCAGGAGAGGCCTCAGTCTCAGCCAGCCCACGGCCCCGCCGCCAGGGCTGAGCGCGGCGACGGACGGGGGCGAGGCCTGAGCCTGCGGGACACCGACCTCCGGCCCAGCGCTGCCCCCCGCCAGCGCAGCGGCCTCCCGAGCCGCGGCTCGCCGATCCCCGCACCGGGCCGGGGAGGGCAGAGGGCAGCGGCAAAGGTACCTGGAGGTCCCAGCCGGCGGACTCGAGGAAGAACCGCGCACGCTCCTCCTCGACGCCGGTCACGGCCACGAACTCCCTCAGCGCCTCCTCCCTGTCCGCCATCTTGCCGCGGTGCAGCGCCCAAACCGCGCCGGGCCGCCCCGCCCCGCCCCCGCGTGCGCCGCCAAACCCGCCCGGCCGGAAACCCCCGGGGCGACGCGAGGAGCCCGGCCCGCAAACAGCGGCCCCTGGCGGCCAGGAGGTGGCACTGCACCCGCCCGGCACCGGAGCGAGCACCGGGAACCGGGCACAGAGCGCCCGTCACGGGTACAGGGCACCGGGAACAGAGCACAGAGTACCGGGAACCGGGCACAGAGCACTGGGCACCGGGCACCGGGCACAGAGTACCGGGAACCGGGCACAGAGCGCCGGTCACGGGTACAGGGCACCGGGAACAGAGCACCGGGCACCAGGAACCGGGCATCGGGCATGGGGTACAGGGTACAAGGCACCGGGCACGGGGTACAAGGCACCGAGCACGGGGAACTGGGCACAGAGCACCGGACACCGGGCATCGGGCATGGGGTACAGGGTACAAGGCACCGGGCACGGGGTACCGGGCAGGGGGCACTGGGTATAGGGTAGCGAGCACCAGGCACCGGGAACTGGGCCCGGGGTACCGAGCATCGAACAAGGGGAACCGAGCACTTGGCTCCGGTATGGGCAGCACCGAGCAATAGAGCGGGCAGCACCGGGCACCGTGTGTGCAGCACGGAGTCCCGGGGACGGCAGAGCCGAGCCCCGGTGTGCAGCACGGAGTCCCGGGGACGGCAGAGCCGAGCCCCGGTGTGCAGCACGGAGTCCCGGGGGCGGCAGAGCCGAGCCCCGGTGTGCAGCACGGAGTCCCGGGGACGGCAGAGCCGAGCCCCAGCGCAGGGCGGGTTCAGGGCACAGCGGGGCCGGGGCTGGCGGCGCGGAGCAGCGCACGGCAGGCTCTGCATGCTGGCTCCTTTATTCAGGTTCACACACCGCTGCTGGCAGTGGCCAAGCCCCGAGCCCCGGCTGCGGGGGCCGGAGGTGGAGCAGGGTAAGGCAACATCTCCGATGCTTTTCTCTTCATGCGCTCGAAGAGGAAGAAGAGGAGCCCACCGAGGAGCCCCTTCTCCAGCAGGACACCCATCCACAGCAGGAGGAGGAGGCTGGATAGAGGGTTTACACCTGCAATGGGGACAGAGGATGTGAGCAACCAGGGCTCGAAGAGAGGCAGGGATCCTTTCCTGGGGCTGCAAACTTCCTCAGGGGGTGACACCACACAGCCACCCTGGCAAGCACCCCCTCCCAGCAGCTCTGACGCACCCTTATCCATCTGGAACCCACCCTGGGCCGGGTTGGAGATCCACAGGGAGGCTGAGTAGTTGGCAGGGGCCTGGCCATCGTGCACCACCGTGCAGATGATCGTGGACCCGTTTTTCTCCTCCGTCGCTTGCACCTCCACCTGGCTTCTCAGCTCAAACAAGCCCCGGGGCAGCTTCCATGGCCGGGAGATGTTCTGCACCTTTATCTCAATCCCATTCTCCAGCCAGGAAACGGACACGTTAGCTGGGTAAAACTCCTTCACGAGGCAGGTGAAGGTCACGGTCTTGTTCACCTCAACGGGGCTCGGCTCGGCGCGCACTTCGACGCTGGGGGGAACTGGGAAGAGAGGCAGAGCCTGGTGTTTGCTGTCACGGCTCTGCTGCCCACAGGGCGCCCTGTCCTCCTCCCAGGGACCCCAGCCCCACAGCAGCAGGACTCCCCAGCGCGAGTCCCCAGCCCTCACCTCGCAGGACTCTGCTGAGCTGGTAGCTGCCACGCAGCGGGGCCAGCAGCGTGGAGTGCTGCACCTCACAGATGAGCTCAGAGGGGACATCATCCTTCTGCAGGGTCACCATGGCTGTGCTGGACATGTTGTAGGTTTTCCTCCTCCATTCGGTGACCTGGGGTCGCTGACCCCCCATGGTGTCCCTGTTCTTGAACCATTTCACCCCAATCGTTTCAGGAAAGAACCCTCCGCTCGTGCAGGTGAAAGGCACCGACTCCCCCGGCCTCGCTCTCTGCTCGGGCCCAGACACGAGCGGGGGGCTGGGTTTGGCTGTGGGGAGAAGCACGGGGCCATCAGACCAGGCTCTGCCCCCTGCCCAGCCCTGGGCCTGGGGATGGCCCATGGGATCCTCTCCTGGACCAGCCCTGAGCCCCTTCCCCATCCCTGCTCTCCCTGAGCAGAGCCCGCCGGCTGATTCCCATCAGGAGCTGCTCCAGAGCCCCGCTCACCTTGCACAGATACCTCGGTGCCATTGCCACGCTGAAACACCTCATCATCACCAGAGTCCCCCTTGACAAACTTCACACAGTAGTAGGTGCCCATGTCCTCAGGCTGAACGTTCCTGATGCGGATGGTGAAGTCTGTGTCAGACCCATTCACTGCTCTCGTCACACGGGAGGAGGGATCCCACTTTTGCTGGTCATAGACAGTCTTGTTCCCACTGCCCCAGCCCTTCAGCCACTTCACAGGACCTGGTCTAGCAATTCCAGACGTGATGCAGTTCAGGGTGAGCGTCTCCCCTGCTGCCACCGTCACCTTGGCCTGGGGCTGCTGCAGACTGAAGCCCTGGCCCGCCTGGGCATTCACACCTGGGCACAGAGACAGAAAGGTTTGGAATTGACAGTGGGCCCCAGGGCTGGGGAACAGCAGAAGGCATCATCAGACCCCCTGAGCCTGGATCAGGGGACAGAGAGATATTCCTGTCCTTTGTCCCCCAGGCTGCTGGGAACTGCAGGATGAGGAGAGCCCCGACTCTTGCTGGGTAAACTGAATTTCATTTGGAGATAAAAGCAAGCTGGAAGAGAGGGAGCAAGAGGAGATCCCTGGCTACCCATGGGCACAGGGAAGCACTGCCAGGCCAGCAGGGTGGGAAAGTGTGCATGGGAAATGTGATGGGGCTGTGCAGGCCGCACTTACCCGGCTCTCTGCAGAGCAGGAGCAGCATCAGGCACACGAGAGGCAGTTCCTGTGCCACCAGAACCATGGGTATTCCACGCCTTGCTCCCTGGTGGCTGGGCTTTGCTCAGCTGGATTCGGCTCCGTTGGACTCTGCTGCACTGGGCTCGGTTGGACTGGGCTTGTCTCTGCAGGGTGCTGGTCTCTTACCCAGCAAAGGGGAAGGAAAGGGGCCACCACCAGCCCAGTTCCTCCACGCAATCACGTCCCATTTGCTTCTCAATGCCTACATCATCTCGTGTCACAGCGCTGGTCCATAACGGCAATGTCCACCCCACTTTCCCCTCAGATGTGTGCCACAGCCACGGGCACAGGCACCGAGCAGCCAGCAAGAGAGACCCGGCTCCAGCACGCTCCCGCACACACGGCCAGCCTGTGGCTCCGCAGCCGGGGGTGCCAAGGGGACGCCCAGCAGGATCCTTGCCAGCAGGATCGGGGTGCGGGATGGTGTCTCCCACTGGTCGGTGGTGCAGAGCAGTGCCCGGGGTACACCGAGCGTCCCACATCCCGAAGCTCCGCTGCTCCTGCCCCTCACCGAACCGGGGAGGACGCAAAGCCGCTCCCTGTCCCGAGCCCAGGGCAGCCGCTCGGTGCCAGGGGGCCCGGGAGTGGTGCCCGCCGGGGTCTCGGCGGGGTGATGCCCACCGGGGGTGATGCTCACCGAGGGTGATGCCCGCCGGGGTCTCGGCGGGGTGATGCCTACCGGGGGTGATGCTCACCGGGGGTGATGCCCGCCGGGGTCTCGGCGGGGTGATGCCCACCGGGGGTGATGCTCGGCGGCTCTGCCGGCTCCCGCCCGCCCCGGGCAGACACCAAAGCGTTAACCACCCGCTCGCCTCAATTTCCTGTCCCGCTTCCCCTTTTCCTTCCCAAAGTTTGGGCAGAACCCATGGCCGCGGCAGCAGCTCCGCTCCTGTCCGGGCAGCGAAGCCTCTTGCAGCGGCAGCTCTCGGGTGAGTCGGAACTGGGGCCCCCCAGAGCCTCTCGGGGCTCCCCCGCCCCGTCCGCCCCACAAACGCGAGTGGGCGGCGAAGATAAACACCGGGCGGGGCGGGGGGTGGTCCTTCCCCGAGCGCCTTTTGGGGTCAAACCGTGCCCGGGGGGCAGAGCACCCCAGCCCCGGGGTGGGCACAGCACCCACAGCCCCGGGGTCGAACCCTGCCGAGCTGCTGCCATACAGTCGGGGACTTTGGGCAGGAGAGGTTTGGGGATCGGAGGGGTTTTGGGGACTGAAGAGGTTTTGGGGAGCAGGAGGGATTTTGGGACAAGATTTTGTGGGGTTATGCTGGGCTACAGGGACATCCCTGCCTAGAACACCGTTTCCTGGCTGGCTCCTGGCTGTGAACCCCAATTCCTCGCAGAGCCCCAGTGATCCTGGCTAGTGTGGAGCAGAGCCAGGGTGTTAATGTTTAACAGCACTCAGGAGTTTTTCCTGCTAGGAGTTCCCCTTGGCTCCCTCTGCACCTCTCTGGCCTCCAGGCAGCTGCAGCACCTCCTGCAAATGACAGAACAGGATGCAGATTTATCAAAACATAGAATCGCAGAACTGTTTGGGTTGCAAAAGCCCTCTGAAATCCTCGTATCCAACCCTTAACCCAGCACTGCCAAGGTCACCAAGTGCCACGTCTACATGTCATTTAAATCCCTCCAGGGGTGGTGGCTCCACCACTGCCCTGGGCAGCCTGCTCTTTTTTCAGATTTGTCCCTTGTTAATTTTGAACCAGTTTTTGAAGGGTTTCGTCCCTCCCAGTGCCTGCATGTTGTCTCTGCCACATCCCAGGATATCTCTCAGCTGCAAGTTGGGGGATACTGGGGCTTCTCTGCCTGTGAGGCTGCCCTTGCCTCACCCCATTGCTCACCCCAGAACCCTCCTGTCTCTGTGCTCAGGTGTGGGTACCCAGTCAGATCAGGGCTTCAGTCTGCAGCAGCCCCAGGCCAAGGTGACGGTGGCAGCAGGGGAGACGCTCACCCTGAACTGCATCACGTCTGGAATTGCTGGACCAGGTCCTGTGATGTGGCTGAAGGGCTGGGGCACTGGGAACAAGACTGTCTATGACCAGAAGAAGCAGGATCCTTCCTTCCGTGTGACGAGAGCAGTGAATGGGTCTGACACAGACT